ACTACTCACCAGAGTGCATGACTTCAGCAAATGCTCGGCCTTTTTTGGTAAAGCAGACGCTGACGATGCGAGTCTTGTTTCATGCAAAAGTATGCCCGATATCTAATGTTTGCATGGCCATTGGAGATAGGTGGTTTCGCCTCTTTACAGCTAACTGGTGTTCGTGGATGCATGTGGAGGCGGTCTTTCCAGTTTTGCTACAATATAAGACATCACAAAGAACATACCATCTTTAAATTGTATTTCCTGACGTGCCTGCCTTTTACTATATATGTTTGAATTACGATCGCGGAATCCTGCTTCAGACTATACTGTGGGGAATATGTGCAATTCACGAAAGTTTAACGCGATAACAGTTAGCTGATTGACTTCGGCACTTGTGAAGAAATGCGGGCATCTCAAGAAATATAACTGGAAATATGTAAATTTATTTGGGAACAAAACAACCTTTATTGCGTAAATTTTCGAGACTGGTTTTCCAACTCGTCGTCAGACTTATGGGTTATGTATAAAAACAGTTAACTACTCAACCGTGTCGGACAAGTGATTCTGCGTTTGGCCAAGGCCTAGGCCATTGTGCGTCAGTGGTCTTTCGTCATCCCCTCGGCATTGACTGTGCTCGCTTCCATTATCCTTGAGGAATTCACATGTGGCATCTTAAGCGATATGCCGGCTTATGCATGCCTCATCTGAGTGCAGTGCTTCCAGGAATTCGCATCATTACCTTATTGGGCAGGCACCAACAATGAGAGTGTTCTTCCATGCAAATTTGCGGCTAATGTCCAGTGTGTGCATAGAACCCTGGATATATGTTCTCGTCTCCTAACCGCTAACTGATGCTCACGTATGCGGGTTGAGGTGGATTTTCCAGTCTGGTCGCAATAGACGACATCACGACTGAAACATGGTATCTTGTGGACAACGCCTTTTCTATCGAGATAGCCAACCCTGTTCTTTGGGTGTACAAGCTGTGTACGCAAGGTGTTTGCAGGTTGGTGTGCCACGTGTATCTGATGTTTTGTCGACTGTCTCTCGACGAGTTCAAATACATTTTTTCAGGCATGGCGAGTCAGCTAAATAAATGTTTTTGGTGTCTAGGTGGCCGTAGTTTTCGAAATATCTTTCTCTTTGACCTCATGCTGCATGCAATGACTTACACAGTCACGCGGATGCCGCTGTGGGAAAATAATTTAATGAAGTATTTCATTTCTGCTTGACAACTTTCTTTATCAGAGCAGTGTGTTTTAGTTCGGTCAAGCAGGTTCTAGGCGATATTCCTCTTGCATTTGACGGGATGGTAACTCTCAAAATGTAGGATGATCTCTAAACATGTTTCGTTGTGATAAACTGAAGTGTGAAGGCATCCTTCAGTTTTTCGGCATACAAGGACATCCAGAATTGGGAGTTTTCCATCATCCTCCGTTTCGAAAGTAAAATTTAGTCCCGAATATGTGGAGTTAAGTTTCGTGTGGAACAGGTCTAATTAGTTTTTATTGACAGTGACAAATGTGTCATCAACGTAGCGCAGCCATATTTGTGGGAAGGTCCATAGATTCCATTTTTTGAATTATGGCTTCTGCTATAAAGCCAGATATAGGCAAACTAATAGGAACACCTTTCAGTTGCCGATAACATTGTTTAACGAAAGAAAAGTTGGTTTCTGGACAGATATAAAGTAGTTAGAGTAGAGCGCCGACAGGCACATCAGTGGTGTAGGCCTGAGGGAGTTCTTTGGTGCAGCGTCTCGTTAAATGTGATGGACTAGAGATGAAGAGCGAGAATTAATTGAATTAAACCATTATCTCGTTGTCGCAGCACTCACTCATTCATCCTGTTGTGCCTTACGGGCTATTTCTTGAGCCCAGCCTGCAGCCGCACAGCGGCGCATGATATAGGCAGAATGTAACGAGTGAGTTGGACTTCTAGCTAACATGTCGCGAGTTTGAGCCTCGGGTGTTCCACACTTCGGAGTTGGATATGGTTAGGTGGCGACGGTTAATAAGACAGAAATGGCCATTCCAGTCTCCCTTGTCATTGTCGGAAATAACATTCTGCCTACATTTATATATACCTATATACTGTAAAGCATGGGACTTGCTGGTTGTGCCGACTATGGCGAACCCTGAAAGGTATCCTTTGACGAAGTTTTTATGATATACGAGAAAGACTACATGACAAGTGGTCCAAATTTTGGCTCTTACTATTAACTCGTTTATATTTTGCGTCGCGGTTCTCAAACGAAATACGTATGTGCTTTTGAAAAGTCTGCCATACGCATAATATATATAGAATCGAATTTACTGTCCTCTTTTCACAACGTCTAGGTTCCGTTTTGCTGAACTTCAACTGACTTTGGGGTTTGCCCCCGTCGTGTTACACTGCAGAGACGCTCAGTTATATATGATGCAGAAACGGTTTATTTTTTGCTCCCCACTGGAAGAAGATTTATTTTGATGAGACAGTCAAAGAATGAATCTGCGACGACAACCGATTTGATATGTTCAAGAAATATAACTCAGAGCGATGCCAAAGGCAGTCAGTCATTGGATGCTGTCTTAATGTTCGTGGTATTTTATCTAGGCACGGATGTATTAGTGACCGAAATAGACTCCTGAAAAACCCACACTGATACGTAACTATGGAAGGGCTGATCTGTCGTAAGTAGATGGCTACATGCACATAAGTCCGACGGCAGAAAGTAGACTAGACAAAAGAATGAGAAAGGGTTTTCCTTGAGTAGAGTTCTACTCAATCATAATTGGTATATCCGAGTTAAAACGCGAAATAGACCAGCAGTTAATGAGATGTAACAGGTTGATGTAGCAGTTTAACGCAATAACTATTTAAAGTTTCTGATGTGACAAAAGTATATTTTTAAGAAGTGAATACCTTAGTTGTTCTATGGAACGTCCGATTTTTAGTGTGTGAACTAATTTAAGTTACATTTTATTTTTTAATTTTGTAAACTATAGTCAATTACAGAGCTTTTCCGGATAATAGAATCCGACTAACACCGATAAGCACAGACTCTTCAGAGTGAATGGATGCCATCATAATTAATCGGTTTTCTAAATAGATCACAAACAAAAAATACTTTAATTAAGAATGCTGCTGCGTCAGTCTGACGAGATATCAACAAAGGACTCGTTCTCAAACACGCCTTGTTTTATAAAGGCATGAGTAGAAAATGTGCCAACTTATTGTAATATATTTAGATGCCTCGTTAACAAATGTGTCTTCAATTACTATTATTATTATTATTATTGAATGCTGGGCTTTCAAAACCTATACTGTAATGCCGAAATCCGATTGACACTCGTGTTAAAGATCTGATGCGGTGTATTTCTGTCATTTGTTTTCTAAATTTTAGTAATCCTTTCAAAGAAAAAGAGTCTGTTTACTTTCGGTTCAGCAGGAAAAAGACGCATGCTGCCAGAATATTCATCCACCAGTCGATTTGGTGTCGCATACCCCGTATGTAGGGACTTTCCCCATTTGGGGCCTGGTACATACAACCAGGACGTAAGTTGCTGAAGACTTTTTTTCGTAAATACGAAGATGTCTTATAGTTTAACTCTATGATGTACAATATGGAGACCAAAATCTGCAGCCCAAAGGGATACACACTTGGCGCAAGAACTGCACAGTTCTTACCGCCACCAAAAAATGTAAGTTCTGTGGAAGTATTGTTTGTTCAGTATCGTGGATTTGGGACGAGCCGCCCGATTTTATTTTGATTTAGTGACTTTGCTTTTAACAGCGAAAATATATGATGCTATAAATTTAACATTTTTATTTGATTGTTGAGTAAAATTTTGATTATGATCCATGACACTAGATAGAGCAAGTTCTCTATGTACAAGACAGTGCACAAATTCTGCGGATAGCGACTGGCGTGAAACCAGAGGGTGTGCATGTTCTTAGCTGGTGTTGTCCCTTCTCTGGTCAAAAATAAGACAAGAAGATGGGATTCCCAGCAGAATATGCTTCGTCTTAGTGAAAACTCTTGGTCGAAGTGCGTACAACGTTTTCGTTGTTTGGCATATCCACTTATCTCGAATGCTCATCACGGCATCATATGTGACACCTGCAACCTGGTAATCAAATGATGAGAGTTGAAATTCAAACTGACATTATCGTCTAATTAGACTGAACTTCAACTGCCAATTTTTATGTGCCAATCTTTTGACCCATCGAGACCCAACCGCAGCGAAACCCAACGAGGCTTGTGCCGTACTAACTATTTTGTGCACACGGAAAGTATGGAAACTTCGGCCAGTGGAAATCCACCGTTCGGAAGTGTTGATTTTGTAATGGATGAGTCATAGCACGTTCTTCTTCATCTCCAGTGCCCATATACGTTATTAACTTTACAACCGCGCAGATCTCACGACGGTTACAGTTGGTGCAACTGGTGGCGAGTCTGTCTAAAGCTTAAATTGACCGAGCTTCCCATCTCCATGAACGTGGTTGTTTTTAGCGGGCGCATCCGGGTGACTGATAGAATACTTAAACTAGTGGCACTAAGGTAGGTCTTGAGTTCGTGTCTGATCTGTTGTTCCGTGCTCTGCACAATTCGCGTGCTAAACAGTTTAACTTCGCGCTCAGGCCTACCGACTTGGGCAAGTAAGTCACTCGCGTCGCAGTTAACTCACATCCGATAAGTTTCATTGAGCCACAAACACTTGATACGAGCTGCTGGCTATTTGTATAACATATGAAATATGAGGGATGCGACGCTTCTCTGCTAGACTGAAAGACCAGAGCTCTCTCGAACACTGGATAGGCATTTTAATGTTCAAATAGCTGACACCAATCAGTATGTAGGTTTTTTACTGGACCGCCTAGGGTCTAAAAGGCTTATTAGACATAGGCCTAGTTAGGGTCGAAAGTGCGCACACTAACTTTATCGTCAGCCTCCATAACAAGCAGGGACGAACCGTTACACCTGCGGGCCACGTATTGTAGGTGACGGGCGGTTGGTTTGTCGGAGTCCTCTTGATGCTAAAACTGGGAATGCCAGCCGGCAAGTTTTAACCGCTCTCTTAGAATTATTTACACTTCCTCGCCTAAATAAGTGGTTATTATCGAGTAGCCACCACTTTTGCAGCTGCTAATGGCTTAGGCCAGTGGCTCCGGTTTCATTCTTTATGTGTAAAGGTTCATTTGACGACATTTTAAAACATATTTTTAGTAAAGTTAAGACTATATGTGTAACCGTTATAGCACGGTAGACAATTCCACCGTATATCAATTGTAATGCAGTGCCAGACTAATGAAAGTGACTTTATTGCTACAAAACTACCAGCAGAGTATGATTCAGAGTACGGACACTGGGATTAAGTTTATCTATTCGAATAATATGCATGAAACCGCGTTTCAAAATTTCGAATGAAACCTTCCGAACCCCTTATCCAAAGTAATTTTTAAATTAAACTGAGCTCGCAGAAGGTGCATTTAATTAGTGCTGTTTTAAACCTGGTCGCCGCCTTTTGCTGGGCTTGAGCGCGACGCGGAAGGTTAATCCAACCGCTCTAGATAGGGTCATTTTGATGAGACCTGAACAGCGTTTGTGGAGTACAAGGCTGGAACAGGATTTACTGGAAATTTCCTCCAGAATGTCCGAGGTCTCTGCAGGTGACGGTGAGACTTTCGACTGTCATGCGAAACCTAATGCTAATGCCTATCACAGAAAGCCGCAAGTTGAGAAATTTTTCTGCCCGCAATATCTAGGGCCTACAACACTTTGCCCAGAGACTTTATTTCAGCTTTTAGTTTGTCGTCCCGAAACACGCTACTCTACCTTTCTCTCTCTCTTTCTCTAAATGAGCGTTTCCGTTCTGCCTGGGTACTTCGGTAGTTTACATAAACTCTAAGGATCTAGATGGCAGATAAAATTCCCACATTAAAAATGTTAACCATTAATTGCCAGACTGTCTTACTGTCATGTTTTTAGAAGGAATCATGTTGTCTATCAATTTGTCTGCCTTCTAGCAGACCCAAAAGGGAATTCGTTATTCAGCAATTTGTCGTTTTCATTACTTTTCCAAAGAACGGTGTTCCTGGACCTGCGGCCTACCAACCAATAACGACAGAATTTCATCCTCCAAAACCCAGTTACAAACCCTTCGGCTCCTCATGCCCGAGAGAAATGGGAGTTGTCCTAACCGGGAGGGACGCGCCAAGGCAAGCATTTATGCGACTGGAATGCTCCAACCCCTTCGAAGACAGTTTGGGCGACTAGTGAAATGCATTGCCAAAGCAGGGACATAATCTAAGTAGTAGGTGTTTTGGCAGATTTGTATAATTCATCGGACCAAACTGTGGAAACGTCGGCGGTCTCAGTGGGATTCAAACTCATGACAGCATGGACAGAGCTTGTGTACAGCAAACGCTCTAATCACCTGGGCTACGAGACCCTGACAGAAAGCCGTGAGTTTAAGCACACTTGGGGTATTAACTCGCGCAACTTGCTAGAACGTGTGTAGCTATAGCAAACTGACTGCCAAAGCAGGATATAATTGCTGCTTTTATCGTGAGGGAGAGCAAGCCTTCAGTAAGCGGTGCAACCTTAAATAGGGTGCTATAGACTGATAAGAGCTCCGAACAAAATGTTTAGGTCTAAAAAGGTTTCTTAATGAAATTTAAAAAGAATGCCAAGATACAAATTCTGAGGTTATTTGTCAGCGGAAGCATAATAGCCGTAGGTGTAGGCCGTGAAACATTGGGGAAGATTGCTCCCCTGCCAATATAGGCATACATTTCATAGCTGACTCACACGCTGGTTAAGTTTGTCAAGATGTGGTGTGGTGGTGTGGTGAAGCTGGCAGTTGTCTACTGCAGGTTTTTTGGATGCGCATGTAGCTTAATAGGCCCATGGGGTGGGTGAATATGCGAGTTCAGTGACGGCAGTTGAGACAGATGCGTCTGGCGTATGTGGGTTCTCCAGAAGCTGGCTCGCCAGCCTCTGTGCGATGGATTCGCAAGTGCTCGACCAGGCCGATGTGGGAGATGAACGTGCAGGAACAGTGTCGGCTGGACAGGTCAGTGTCGGTTTCGGCGATGATGGGGGACGGCGTGTCGTTTGGACTAGGAATAGTAAGTATGCAGCATGTGCAAGGTGCTTCGAGGCTGTGGGGAAATAAACTCTTGTGGATGCGTGCATGACCTAACAGGCCCATGCGGTAAGTGAATGTACTGGGGCAGTGCAGACAGTGGAGGCGGATGCGGCGAGTGTATGTTGATGTTCCGGGCACTGGTTCGTCAGCCTCTGTGTGGTGGATTCGCAAGTGACCGACCAGGTCGATGTGTGAAGTGAAGTTGCGACCGCAATGAGGACAGGTATGGAGCGAGTCTACACCGGTTGTGTTGGCGGGGGTTAGGATGGCGTTTTTCAATGCGTTAGGATTAAGTGCGGTGGCGGTGGATGCAGGAGCCGCCGCAGCTGACGTTGGGGCGATGGAGGAGGATGGCCATGGGTGTTTAAGATTGAGGTCAGTGTTGATTGTCGGCGTGGGACGCGAGGCAGTGGTGAACCGGGGCATCAGGTAGCGCTGTTAGGGTGCCGCAGTCGGTAGAAAGATGCCCAATGGGACGGAGTTGTGCCCGGAACGTCCGCCGGCAACGTGGGCAGGTCAGGGGCGGCTGGGAGTTGGCGTTGCGGGGGCGGGCTATTTGAGATTTGCGAACGTCACGTTTGACTTTGACGGCGATGATGCGGTTGGCTTCGTGGGTCGCTGCGCCTGTCTTCACGGCTCTCCGCCAGGTCGGTCGGTCCAGGACGAGGTCTTTCCAGTTGGTCGGGTTGATTTGCAGGTGCTTCGTCGAGTTGTTCAGACCATCCTTGTAGCGCCAGACTCGACCTAATTGTCGACTGGAAAACGTGGCGACATTTCCATAGAAGTGTCGTTTTGGTAACCGCTCGTCGTCCATTCGCACGAGGAGGCCGCTCCAGTGCAATTGCAGTTGTCTCAGCATTGCGTGGATGCTGAGGATTCCGGTCTGTTAGAGGGCTTCCGAGTCCGGGATCCGGTCCCGTCACATCAGTTTCAATATCCGTCGAAGGCAGTTTAAGTAGAAGTGGTTGAGTGTTCGTGCTTACTTCTTATCCAACACCCAGGTTTCCGCTCTATACAGCAGCGCAGGAAGGATGACGGTCATTAACATCTTCAGTTTGATGCTGATGTGGAGACAATGTTGATTCCAAAGCGCGTTTTACAGACGACCAAATGCTTGTCTTGCTTTGGAAATCCGGCGAGCCATTTCATCGTCGATTTTGGTTAATGAAGTGATTGCGTTGTGAGGCGCTGGGTGATATTGTTGTGTGTTGAAGGTGCTGGTGGAGGGAGGTATGAGGGTGTATTATGGTCGGTGGTTGTCTGCCGCAGGTTTCCATGGGTTTGCATGCCGCCTATGAGGTCCATGCGGTGGTGGAATGCTCGCAGGCAGTGAGGGCAGTAGAGGCGGATGCGACGAGTATAGGTTGATGCCCCAGGCTCTGCTTCGCCAGTTTCTGTGCGATGCAATTGCAATTGACCGACCAGGCCGATGTATGAGGTAAAGCTGCGATCGCAATGAGGACAACTATGGACCGAATCAATGTCGTTTGTGTGAGAGGTAGCGAGATTGATTTTTGACAGCGTGTCAGGATTGTTTGCAGTGGTAATGGGGCAAGGGCCACCGCATCAGATGTTGAGGCAGGGAAGATGTTGGAGGATAGTGACGGGGAATCAGAAGAACGGTTATGGTTGACTATCGACGTGGGGGATGGGGCAGAAATGTCCGGGAGGCACCGGGTGGTGTTGTCCGGGTGCTGAATTGGGTAAAAATGTCCAATAAGATAAACTTGTGCCTGGGACGTTCGTCGACAGCGAGAGCATGTTAGGGACGGTTGAGCGTTGTGGTTGCGAGGTGGGGATTTTCGAGCTTCACGTTTGGCTTTGGTGGCGGTTATGCAGTTGGCTTCGTAGATCGCCGATCCTGTCTTCACTGCCCAAATCCAGGCTGGTTGATTTCGGACGAAGTCTTCACAGTGAGTCAGGTTGATCTATAGGAGCTTCAAGGAAGTACTCAGAATGTTTATGTAGCTCACCCCTCGCGACATCTCCATAAAAGAGTTGTCTTAGTTGTCGGGCGTCGTCAATTTTCACCGGATGCCCGATCTATTGCAGTTGCTGTTGCCTCATTCTGACCTGGATAGTTAGGATTCTGGTCCGTTCCAGGACTTCCGAGTCCGAGATCCTGTCCTGTCCTGTCATCTCAGCTTCATTATTCTGCGAAGACAGCTGACATGTAATTGGCTGAGCTTCCTGGCATGACTCGCGTAAACGGTCCAGGTCTCCGCTACGTACAGGAGTGTCATTAAGACGACGAGCTTGCGCAACTTCAGTTTGGTGTTTATTTGAGGGCCGTGACGATTCAACTCGGGGGCCTGCAGTTGGCCAAAAGCCTGGATGACTTTGGAGAGCCGGCGGCCCACCTTATCGCCGATGTTTGCGCAACACGAGATTGTGTTTCGTAGACAGACGACGCTGTCTAAGGTTTGGATTTGGTTGCCATTAACAAGGATCTGAGAATTGTTGTATTCAGCGTTCGGTGAGGGTTGGTGCACGAACACCGTTTTGTCCCTGGTGATGACCAGGCCTAAGTTGTCGTAGGCAACGACGAAGAGATTCATATGCCTTTGCATGTGCCCTTCAGAGATGGCGTTGAGGTCGCAGTCGTCGGCAAAGAGAAGTCGATGGATGAAGGTTGCGGACATATGCGACTCGAAATGCATCCGCCACCGATTCAAGAGTTGGCCGTCCGTCCAGCAGATTGCGTGGATCGGGGGCCTTTCGTCACAGTAGGTGTCCATCAGCATGACAGAGAACACGGGACTGGAGAGCGTAGATGTAAATACAAAGCCCTGTTGTATTTCGTTGGTCACTTCGAATGTCCCTGAGTCGACTGCATTGTCCGTGACGTGAGGCGTCATGCCATCGTGCAGCAGAGGCACCATCTGAGTGAATCGTTCAGGACAGCCGAATTTCTGCACGATTTTCCATAATCCTTCACGATGCGCCCTATCAAAGGCTTTCGTCAGATCCACGAAGTCTGAGGAGTGATGGATCCGGTTGGCATGCGGCCAAGATCATGTCGGTGGTGCCACGATGACGGTGGAAGCTGCACTGGCTTTTCGACAGGAGTCCCTTTACTACATGGCTGTTGAGGCGGCTGAGGAGAAGACGAGCAAAGATTTCCGGTGATGGTCAGCAGGGAGATTGCTCTGTGGTTGTCAGAGACTTGGCGGTTCGCTTTCCGCTTGTAGGGGTGGACGATTATGGCGTCTTCGAAATCCTGAGTGACTTGTACTTGACATCACATCGCCAAGAAGATCGCCATTAGATTTTATATAAGTTGTGGGTCACCGTGCTTGTAGATCTCATCAGGGATCGCGTCCGATCCGAGCCTTTTCCCGCTGAAGCGCTGTTGTACGACTTTAATGGTTTCGTGGAGGGAGGGCGGGAGGTCGAGGTCGGCGTTGGTCTCCACTTGAGGCAGTCGGTTGATAGCGGCCTTGGAGATGGTCGAAGGACGGCTGAGGACGACTCTGAAGTGTTCGGCCCATCTCTTCAGAATTTGTGTCTTCTCGGTGAGTAGGCTTCTGCCGTCAGCGATGAGGAGAGTGGCAGTTCCTTTGGCTGACGCACCGTAGACAGCCTAGATAACATCGAAGAAGTTTTCTATTCGTTGCGGTACGCGTATCCGTGGATCTCCTAGGCCTTGCAAGCCACCCAAGCGTCCTGCATCCTCCACAGTTGGTGTTGCACAAGGTGGCGACTACGGTAGAAGGCTACATCGCTTGCGTCGGTAGGGCAATTGACATAGGATTTGTACAGTCGGTTCTTCTCGATGAGTAGGTTGTTGATGTCGGCGTCGTCGTCACTAAACGGGTCCTAGTATTGGTGACGTGCGCAATCGAGGACAGCCGTCGCGGTTGACCGGACCGTGTTTTTCAATTGACACCATCGGTTCTCCACAGAGGCATTTTTGTCAGTGGCGGCTGCGGCGACTGGAAAGTTGGCTAGCTTTTCGGGTAGTTCGTTGCTGAAATGGAGATGGTGAGCAGACAACGACAACAAAATAATATTCAACTTACCGGAGGGTCGCTTACCTTTGGGTCTCCTGCGAGGCTGTATACGAATCCTCATTTTGGAAACGACGAGACGATGACTCACCTTTGTCACCAGCACATCCCGCTGGTGTTGCCTCCGGACGAGGAAATAGTCCAGCATGTGCCAGTGTCGTGACAATGGGTGAATCCAGGCGGCCTTCTCCCGCCTCAGAAGGCAGAAGAATGTGTTGGGCAGGATGAGACAATGTTCTGCGCAGGCTCATAGGAGGAGTAGGCCGCTGTCATTGGAACCCGTCGAGACCAAGGGGACCCAGCACTCCTCTCCAGGCAGCATGGTCCATGCCTACGCGAGCGTTGAAGTCACCAAGACAATCAGCTTATCTGCATTCAGCACAGTCGGCAGGAGGGTGTGCAGACCCTCGTAGAATTTGTTCATTGCCTCGTCAGGGCTGGTCATCGGAGGAGCGTAGACACTGACGAGTTTGCTTCCACGGACAGGCAGGCTGAGGCTCATTAGGCGACCGTTGATGCCCTGCGACAGACAGAGCCGTTGTCCCACGATGTCGTTCCGGATGGCAAGGTCGACACCCGCGTCCTATCGCCTTGCTTTGGGGCAACCGCTCTTGAGGGGGGTGTAGCCAGCATCTACCTCCTCCAGCTGGTCTTGTTAGGAGAACCGGGTCACAGTGAGTGCGATGATGTCCACCTTTTAGTTGATTTTGTCCGCAGGTCGAGGCGACTACCGGCGTTTGGACGCTGGGCAGGACCCAGCTTTGAGTAGCCACATGTTGGTGTTCGGTGTAAGTTAATGGGTGTTAGGTCTAGTCATTACCTGCAAGGAAGTGCGCAACTTACTACAATCAGCATGTGTATCGACAACCGGATACCCCTACAGCTCACACCCTCTGCTTATAAGAGGTAAATAAATGACTCACAGAGGGCCAAAATTAAAGAAATAGCTAGTTTAGATCTCATAATTTTCGATTGCCTGCCCATTTCAGTTATAACTCAAGCAGACCAAAGAAGAGCGAATGCGCTTTGATTGTTTTAGCGTCGGCACCTACGACTGGTTCGTCGAGCGCAGGCCTGTGGAGTGGCAACGTGATACAAATCTAAAACCGATCAACTTACCTCCAATCACCATCAACAGCACTGTCCCAGCTAATACAAACAAGGTAAATCCCTCTACGTTTCATACATGGGTGAGAAACGCTTTTAGAAATGTGCCTCCTGTTGAAAAAAAAAACACCTAAGTATTCTTTTCTGCTATGCGCATGCAACTCGATTCTAGGAGACCGACGGAATTTTTCTCTTCCTTTTAGTTAACAACCTCAAGAGACGAAAGAAACTTTCAGCGAAAGGTTCGTTGCTTCGAAAACTGCTTCCGGCTTGGTTAGCAGGACAAATACTGGTGACCAAGGAAGACATACCTTAGTTACACTTCTTCAATAACCAAGATAGCGGCTCCCAGTATCGAGTTTCGACATGTCAACAAGAGTGAGCTCTGTAGGGGCAATGAAGTGAAATTTAAACTTGAAAGATGACTGCAACCATGTACCTTGTAAACATTTTGAAATAAAATGAAGGGTTGTGAATCACAGCAAATTCTGAGCCAAGGTGTAAGAAAATCGAATCAAGATTGATATTCTTCCAGTGTTTGGACCCACCACGACTGTAGTGTATTTGGAGGTTAGATATAGCTGGCAGTTGTATGCGGCCAGCACAATATTCGTTTGTCAGCCTCAGAGCGTGAAATTGGACAATTACTTTGATCAAGAACTAGCAGTTGTTTTAAAAGATCTCATGATGAATAAAAATGATGCGGCGAATGACTTCAAAAATTACTCTTGAAGGAACTTGATCGTGAACTTTCGATCCCGTAGTCCATGAAGCGTCTTTATGGCAAAGTAAAGGGGAATAGGAAAAGGTACCAAGGGCGATCAAAACGGAGGTGTAAGTCACACAAAATGCGCTTTATGAATATGTGAATACAAGCAGTTCCTTTGGCTTGGGCACCGTAGACAGCCCCGATATCAGCGAAGAAATTTCCTGTTCGCTGCAGTCCGCATATTGTAGATCTCCTTGGCCTTGCAAGCCACCCAGGCGTGATAAAAAAAATAATAATTCGTCCCGCACTGGTACTTACCATGGTATCAAATGCTGTTAGATCGTGTACTGTGGTGGCCATTCCTCAGCGTGCCGTGGATTATGGCAGATGCTCTAGTGCTGGCAATATCATGCTGTTGCAGGGCTGAACGCCCATCTGGTGAGGAAAGAAAACGCAGTTCAGTTCAGGTTTATTAAGGGAAAGGCAGGCAAATGTAGACATGACGACGTCCACTAGCAGGGAATTTCATGTGTTAATTACTCTTTTGGGGAAGAAAAACCTCCTTGCATCCATTCTTGACTCTCTCAAACGTAATTTGAGAGGATGTCTTCTCCGGCTAATAGTGGTGACTGACTCAAACAAGTCGCCGGATGCTAGGCGACAATCCTGACCCTGCAGCATGCGAAACGTTTGAATTAAGTCACTACGAAGCTACCTGTAGTACAGGAGAAAGAGGTCAAGATTGGACAGTCGTGTTTCGTAAGGCAGGTAGCCTTGGCCTCTTACAAGCCTGGTTGTCTGTCGTTGAACCTTTTCAAGGCTGCTGCGGTCTCTGACAGTCCACAGTCTCCAGGCCCGAATGGAAAATTCCAATTGTAATCGCGAGAACATCCAGGGGGCTTTACCAAATCACAATTCGTCGAACGTCGCAAATGCCCCCTTGATGAGATGTAAGCTTGTCATTGCAGATTTCGCTGTTTTCGGGCTCTGGAAGCGATGTATGATTTACGCTGTACGCTATCCGGTGCGCAGAGCTGATTCTGCAGATTCGCAGGATGTTGCATTTGGAAACATTAAAGGGGAGGAGCCAGCGGTTTGACAGTTGCTTGAGTCGATTCAAGTTTACCTGCAGCTTTGCTTCATCGTCCTCGCTGCGGGTGACGTTCCAAAGCTTTATGTCGTCAGCTTTATAACGTCACAGTCTAACCCATGGATCTAGTCACCAGTACATAGAATAAAGGGGATAGGGCCAAGAATGGAGCCTTGAGGAACTTAGCTCTCAGACGCCACCTCCGCCGACTGCTGGTTTTAAATACGGCCAATCTGTGATCGGCTGATTAAGAAGTCATCAGTCCACTTCAAAAGCTTGCATTTTACCAATTTGCGTTCGAGCTTGCATATGAGATGTTGGTGTGGCAAGTCTCTGTATTCTATGTGCACCACATTTCCTCCAGCGTTCTAGACAGTACAGCAAATTGGCCAAGCAGGTCGTTCCTTTGAGGAATCCATGCTGCGCGTCAGAGAGATGATGTTTCTCCAAGAAATGCGTCATTTAGCGTTTGATAGTCCACTCCAAGTTTTTCTCCATAATTTCTGTATATTCACCAATGTTCACCAGGGACACAGGATCCATTTTTCGGACGTAGTTCCTTACGTACTCGTTGAATAACTTTGAATTCTGCGTGCTGCGAATGTCCAGACCTACTTTGAAACCTTGCTGTACCCTGAGGTTGAGTGGCTTGTCTAGAGTTCTTAACTCTTTGTATGCATTTAAAAACACGGGGTTGCTGTCAGCGAGGGATTTCCTCTACAGCCTCCATATTTAATTCCTGTTTCCTTCCAAAATCTCTGTCATTCACTGCAGTTCGTTGCCCAACCTTTTCAGTGAATTTATGTGGCGGTTTTGTAGGAGCACGTTCACGTACAAAATGGAATACTAGTCGTCGACTGTGTTTCCGGAAAGGGCCGATTCCTAGGCCATGCCGCCTATTTCTTCCCTTATTTGATCTAAGTCATCACGCCAGATATTTCTTTTGACTCTCTTCGGCTTTACTGACACCGAACGGACTGCAAAATCTCGTGGCAGTCCGATGTGGTCGATTTGGCTTAGGGAAGTGGACATTTCACACCAATAAATTAATGCGGATATTCTAACTGCTGTCCTTCACGCACTTTCGTCAGAAACAAAACGTGCCGTGTGAGGAAGCACCTGAGCCTGAAGTCCAATAAGCGTTGGTCATGGAGTACTTCCGTCTCTACTCTATATAGAGAATCCGATCGAAAAGGGGTGCAGCAATTTCGTCCTGATCAAGCCATCATTCCGAGGAGAAAACCTTTCCAGCCCGCGTATCATACACACATCAACTTCGGCGTCACATCTTAGCGGTCGACGGATTATCAGGTCCGCAGTTTTTTGGGATTCCGGTACCTATTTTGCGAATCTATGTGCCTCAGTGCTGCACGTCGGCCTTTCTTTTTTCTCGGATGAAAGCGATCCGTGTTTTATGTACGTGAGCATGCCTCCTCCCCGGCACAAATTTCTATTTCTTCTTAACAAATTAAATCCGTTTGGTATCAATTCGCGACCGTTAAAATTTTGGGACAATCAAGTTTTTGTCGACGAGGGGGAGAGAGAGAAGAATCAGTTTTATTTTGAGATTATAAATGTAGAATTTTCGGCAAAAATGGACTCCATTAACGGTGGACAGAAAATAAGTTAATAAGGTACTCAAGAGTCAAAATTTGTGCACCAAAATGAACGACTATTATGGGGACAGTTCGAGTCTTAGCTTCTGCATTCCTGTTCTTCATACGTGAGATAGCGCGCCAGGCATGGCAGTAGATAATGCTGATATGCCGATGTACAACAAGAGATAAGTCGAAAGCCACGGCTCATGGGACGAAAAGACATCGCAGATAGTAGTTCAGAATGCAGGGAATGTGTAACGTCATCCAGAATTCGACCAGCAAATGGCTTTACGGTTTCGAAATGTCGTTGTATGATAATTTCGATTAAAAGACATAAGAAACACCGGCAGCAGAATAAAGCATTCGGAGTTTGATAATTCGCCACATAACTTTGCAACAAGAGAAAATGAGGCCTACGGGTTGGTAGTTTGTGGGAGCACGACAACCACTTTTATATATCGTTGAAATCCGTGGTCTTCCACTCAGGTTGCAATTTGTCTACAACGAGGGAGTCTTAGAAGAGAATACATAGGGGTTCTGCCAATTCTACGGTCAACTTCTCCAAATACCTTGCTGGTATTTCAGCAGTACCTGGTGATATCGGTTCTTTCGGCATCAACAGTTCTTTTAGAACAATAGTTTTTGTTTAAACCCCTCATTCAATTTTCTGGACCGCATCGGCACTATATTTATCAACGGTTAAATTGGCTTCTCTCGTAAAACCGACTGATAGAGCTTTCATAGATGCCCAGTCTTTTCGTCGCCCTTGCAAATTTCAACACCAACGTCCGTTTTTAACAAAGAGATGGGATCCATATTTCGAGTGCATTATCTTTTGTGGTTGTAGAGAGGTTTTGCGCTTTCTGCTGCACAGTTTAGCAAGTTACTCTCGAAGCCTTCGAGGGCTTTATAAACAAGGCTCCTTATTGCATTTCTCTGCGCTTTGTATTAATTCACTGACTCGACCGTCTTTCCCCTGTGTTAAGTATTTTACAGCTATCGCTTGCGGTTTACGCATCCCTTTCCTGTGGTCTTCAGCCGCTGAGGCTGGCTGGTGATCTTTTTCGATTTAGGGCAGTATCTGGTGATAAGTTCATTTAATAAGGCCTTAAATTCCAGCCAGTCCTCGAGAACACACCCGATGAATGCGGCGCACGTCGATTTGAATTTGGTCAAAATCGCCACGCCATGTGTTGCGTCCGACCGTGTTGCTTCGATGAGGGTGCAAAGAGGAACTAATACTTCCACTGTAGTACTACGTGGTCTCTTTTGCCGAGAGACGGTCGATATTTTACGACATCAGCGCTGTCAGGCGCTTTTGTTAGTATAAAGTCTAAGCAGTTAGCTTGTTGCCCTTCACATAGCCTAGTTGGAGATAAGACTTTTTGAGTGATATGATTTTTGTGCTGCTTGTAGAAGGTGGCGATCAAAGTGTAATTCTGAGTCTGCGGCAGTATTCAGATCCCAGTCAATATTCGGAGCGCTCAAGTAGCTCATAATCATGAAACCAAATCGGATAGAAAACTCTTCTACTTCCTCTCTCAGGCTACCGCCTGGCTGCATGTCGTTTCTCAGTGGTCGGTAGACCGTCAGGACTTCAAAAGCTAGTGACCTCGGCGTTCCGATGGTGAGCCAAATTGTCTCACTTGTGCGCACGAGCCTTCCCGTTTTTTCTGGAACTTCTTTATCGGGTTGGAGCATTGAGTCCAGAGGACCTTGGAACAAGTCAAAGCCTGCTAAAACGCGTCCCTTAGGTGTGTGTTTTTGCCCCCTGAAGTCCCTGTACCACTAAGGACCGTTCTCAGAGCGGCCTGCCCCTCTTACGTGATAGTGATGACTTAGGAGTTCCTGACAAACCTTTTCTGACGATGCTCTGACTGT